GTGGTTAATTGAGTCTGCTGGAGCGCAGAAATTAACATACTCCAGCAGCTTCTAGTGCCATGTGTATCAGAGTCCCTGGGCTGAAAAATGGAAGTGGGGCATTTTAACCTAAAGCTCATTCAATAATCTTTAATTCAAAGCACCCCACCACCATTTTTCAGTGCGGGAGCACTGATACATGTGATGTTTGAGTACTTTTAATGAGCATTGCTTGTTAATTCCAGTTCCCCCCCCGTCACAGAGCACATTTATAAATGCCCATAGTGTGCAGAGAGGTTGGCAGGCCAGTCCATGCCAAGAGTAAGCTGGATGGACCTCAAGGCCCCCACCTAGGGTCTCATGGGTGGTTCCCAAGAGAGAGCTCAGAATTCAGGTGAGTGTATTCCTTTTGCTCCAGTGTTGTTTCGGTAGTCAGCTATTTCCTGTCTGGGCTTTATGATGGGATTTGAGGGATTTTCCAAGCTGTCACAACCCAAAGGTGTGATTTTGTTTTGTGTGTGCTTTGGCACCACTGAATTATTTTCCCGCCTATTTGCAGCTTTCTTTGCAGTGTGCATTTCTTCTTTGCAGCACAGAAATGCACTTTGCAAAGAGTTCCCGCCATTTGTATTATAATTTGAGCCCCATTATTGGCTTGCGTGAAATTATTCACACGTGGCGGCTAGCGATTGGCTTGCTAGCCGTATAAAAGGCTTGAGTGGTTTCCGCCCAAGTTGGAGGACTCCATGAACACCAGGAGGAGGAGACTTCACGCTGTGTGAAGATCTCTAAGCACTGCGAAGCCTATCGGACCCAGCGCATTTCAAGCAGGCAACAGGGGTCTGATCAGCCTCTAGCCTCTCCCTGTCACCGTTCGCAATCCTCGACGTATCCCTCTCCCTGCGCGCAAAAGGATCCACGGAGCCTCGACAACTCCGTGGGAGTGATCCGAATATTGTCTGAGTCCTCAAACGAGGATTTAAGCGGAGCTGTGCCTGGGAAACTGTCCAGCCTACACCGCGACCATCTTCGGTGTAAGTAAACAATCTTGAATCAACCATTAAGCGTCCGTGCCTAATTCTAGCGTGTCGCCTGTTTTCTCCGACCCAGCGTGCCCGGGCTGCTGGCCACAGCCCGTGCGGCGCGAAAAAGGGCCCGGATCGCTCCCGGCCCGCACACAAGCCAGTTCAGGTACTTAAAGTTTCCTGTCTTGAACTCTGGGAATATCCTGAGGTATGCGAGTGGTTATGGTATTAGTAAGCTGAGTAGGGTAAACGTAGGTTCTGGTGCCTTTGACCAGGCACTTTCTCTTAAGCATCACAGGCTTTCTATACATGTGCTCTGGGGTGGAGTGGGGATGCTTTAATTAAAGCGATTCTGAGAACCACTGTAAATACCTGCAGGATTATGTGTGTTCCACATCCTGCATTTCAAAAGGGGCGCTTTAACTAAAGCTCTTTTGATAACTTTAGTTAAAGCTCCCCTGCCACCACTTTGAGATACAGGGATGCTGAATATATGGGTCGAGGAGACTACTGCAGTGTGCTAATTAGCACGCTCCAGCAGACTCAGTTAATGGAGTCTGCTCCAAGGCATGCTGATTAGCACACATTGGAGCAGAGGTTCGTCATGTGTATGGGTGCCCACAATGCCTAAAATTTAGCTGCTTTACCCACAAGAACCCAAGACTAATCAAACCTTAGAGGTAGCTAGGCTTTCTATACACGGAATGGGGAGACCTGGATGCTTTCTAAGGATGATTCAGGCCACTTAGGTGATCATCAAGGAGGTGTCTATAACCAGCCAAGAAAAAATGCTAGCTGCCTGAACTCCCACTACTCTTCAGAGAATAGGTGTCAATTTTCAGGCTGTAAGGGAGGCATTCTGGCAGAAGAGGGAAGCTGTCTGCTTGAACCAAAATACCTAGCTGACAGCAATATTGACGCAAGTATGAAGCATAACATTTGTTCAATTTCAAATGCTGATTTAGAAAAATAGGTCTGGAAGGGATCTCAAGAAGTCATCTAGTCAAAACCTGTGTCCAAAGCAAAATTCTCCCTGTCTAAACCATTTTGTCTTAACCCTGTCTTAAAACCTTCTAAAAGTTGAGGTTCCATGACCTAAAAACTTCCTAATATTTAAACTAAATTTCTGTTATTTCAATGTAAAGCTGTTATTTCTGGTCCTCTTCCCCTGAAGCACTTTATAATCACCTTGCAGCTGTTTGATGACTCTTATCAAATCTTCCTTCAAACTTTTCTTCTCCAGACCAAATAAGCCCACTTCTTCTAACCTTTTCTTGTAAGTCATGTTCCCAAGACCTCCAATTTGTGTTGGTTAACCACTACACTTTCTAATTTGTCCAAATCTTGAAATTGTGTGGAGCCCAAAATAGAGCACACTATTCCCAATAAGGCCTCAGCAGTCCTGAGCAGCTTGAAAAGCTGTTGGTGGTGACCATCTTTTGCCCAAGAGACCTGTGTGGTTGATCAAGCATCACAAACAGGCCATAAACTGAGGATCTACAAGAAAGAAATTGTTCAGTAGTTGCCTGTGACTGCAGGGGCCTGGACTTGATGGCTCAGGTCTCTTCCAGGCCTAAGGGCCTGATGTTCCTACTAGCCTCATAATAAGAGAAGTTGCTGAGAGAGCCAGCAAGATGGATGTGCATCTGTGGCCCAATGGGTTATTGACATTAGACAGTCATTGATTCAAGAAAAGAAAAGAAAAATGACTCTGGCATCATAAGCCAAGAACCAGGATGGTCTCCACCCGCAGTGGGGGTGAGACAACTACCATTTGCCAGAGAGAGAGAAGAGGCTGCTCTCCAGCAAAAAAGTTCAACCTTTCCATTTGTCAAAGACTCTGTGACTTCTAGAAAATCAAAAAAAAAAAAAAGGTGTGGGAGGGAGGAAGGTGATTAAGCTGAATCTATGACATGGTTTAATGGTACTATAGTGGCAAAAAAAGGACTACTTTATGCAGGTCAGGGCCCTGGCAGATGTTACACTTAAGATGTGATTAACTTGTTAATTACTCCATAAATTGTAACCCAGCCCCACATTCATACAATTAATGGCACAACAAAATGGGAAACCACCAAAATGGGAAGCCCTAAAAATATGCCACAATATCTGTATAAACTATTTGCATTGTGTCTTAAACTGAATGTATGGCAAGGTAGCTCCATCATGTAGCCAGCTACATAGCAGGGCATGTTTGACAGGTCTCCTGGCTTGGCAGTAGGGGTGTGTGGAATGGGCTGTATTTGGTTTGGATTTGGCCCAAATCGGGGACAGCAATTCAATTAGTTGATTCAGATCACTGTCCCAATGCAATTTGGCCAAATCTGAAGATTCGATGCGATTCAGAGAATCAGCAATTCAGCCATAGACACAGCTTTAAATATTTTTTCTACATACCTCAAGGTACCAGACGTGGCTCGTGAATGCTGCAATGGTGGAGTGGATGGAGTATCCCACAGGAATGCAGGGGGTTCTCCTCCGTATGCTCGGTGGCAAACCCAGAAGTGGACCAAAAATAATTTCTGGGTCCACCACTGAGCACATGGGGGACCCCTCTGCACTCCCCTCTGGCTTGGCAATTGGCAGCAGGGGGACCCCAGGTGCCCCTCCAGACCCAGAACACCAGTCACTGAGCCGGGGGGTAGAGGGAGGCCCCCCACATACTTCTGGTCCACTTCTAGGTCCACTGCTGAGAGTGCTGGGGACCATCTTGTGCTCCTGTGGGATGCTCTATCCACTCCAGCATCTCATCATTCATGAGCCGCCTTGTACCTTGAGATATGTAGAAAAAACATTTAAAGCTGTGTCTATGTCTGAATCATTGAATCTTTCCGAAACTCTCTAAATCAACTCAGAGGGTTTCATTTTGATTCAGAGAAATTAAAGGGTCTCCTGATTCAATTTGGATTCACAGATTTGGCCACCGAATTGGGCCAAATCTCTGCCAAATTGAATCAATGACTGATGCTTCGCACAGCCCTAGTTGGCAGGCTGACAGCCGGGTGGTGCAGCCCTGCCTATGGAGCTTATCAGTTGGGCTGGGGTGCCAGGTAATGAGGACCTACAGGGCTCCCCATGCCCTGGCAGGGGGCTTGTCTTGTTCCACAGGCTGAGAAGCCAGGCACATTCTGGTCCCAGGTGATGAGCTGTGGGATTCCCTGCAGCCTGACAGGTTTCCTGCCTTGCCTTACAACTCCCAGGGAGCTGCAGAGCAAGGCACTTGAAACATTGCAGCCCTGGAGACCCTGGGACTGGGGAGAGGTTCCCTGATCCCAGAGTACCCATGTGCTGGGACCTTTAAAAACCGCATGGACAGACCAGCTGCACACGTGGTTTTCTGACATCCCCAGCACAAGGGGCGCTGAGCCCAACCCCATGGCAGTCTTGGGGCTGAGACCCACAATCAGCTTCAAACCGGTCCCAGGTCTGGGGCCCACATTCAGCTGATTTCCATTCCCAACCCTACGGACTGCACCAGTCTCCAACCAGCTCCATTGCAATCGAGGGCTGAGACCGACAGTTGGTTGATTATCAGTCCTGGCCTCAGGACTGCACAGTTCACACTGGGCTACAGACATCCAGCTTTCAAGTTGCTGGTTCAGGGTGAGCTCAGGATTATGCACTGGCAAGTAGTAATAGCACTATTAGGATTTGATCTCTGATCCCAAAATCACGCATCCTGCCATGCACATGTGGCATGGCAGATGGCACAATTGTTGGGATTGGTGTCAGATCTCATCGTGCCATTAAATGAACGTGTGCCAGGGGCCTCAGATACTACAACAACCTTCCCCGGGGGTGGATGGAAGTGGAATAAATTCTACTCCACCAGTTTCCAGGCTGTTTGCAATTACCACATGCTGCTAGTGGTATACTGAATCTGGAAAGTGTGCGTGCGTGCGTGTGTAGATTGAGATGCAGAATCTATTCTGTGATGCCTTTTCAGGTTTTTAAACATGAAATGTTTTAAAGTCAAATAGTCTCATATGCTATATGTAATTTTTATAGTAAAGATGTCTTTATTCCAAAATAATAACGTGTTAGCCAGACAACTACAAAACATCTACACAGAACTTTGGTAAGAAATGTTCATATCTTTCTCATAGTTCCACAGCAAACAAAAACAGCAGCAGAGGAAAACTTTAAAAAAATAATTGAAATGCATGTTGCACATATTAAGTCCTATTATACATTTGTTAAGCCCCTACCCTTTTTCCTTGTATTATGTGTAAAGCTTCTACAGCTCATGTTAGAAAAAAACAACATACACAGGATGCTAAAAACTGATATTTGAGGTGTACAAAACTCTGAAGTGATACCTGTGCTTTCAGTTCAGGAATATGTATTATTCATGAGTTACTAACAAGAGATAACAAGTTTTATTTTTATTGACTGATATTCAGTGAATGTTACACTACTAGAAAGTTTACAGTAACATTGCAATAATTCTACATACTATATATCAGAGCTTTTTTGTTTTCCTTAATAGAAAATCAACCTCTTAATTTTCTGTTTTTGTTTTTTGTTTTTATTTTTTACAAAAAGTAACAAGCTTAAATATCTTTTGTATCAAGTTAGAAGAAAATCAGCAAAGTGAACTGGAAAGAAATTGATCAACAGAAAAACGATATAATAAACTGGACAGCCAGAAACAACCACACCTCTAACTACACACAATTTTGTGACTGCAGGTATTAATAATGCGGAAAAAACTCAAACATCTATAATACTGAGCCCAAGAGAAATGACTGGAAACCACAATGAACGCCCTCCTGATTAAAATAAAATAAATAAAGTGTATATGGTTATTGAAACCATACTTGAAACAGTGTGAGAATTGCCTGAACTTTTCTGTATGGTTCTATTCAACCAGCACATATTACATATGTAAATGTAATACACTTTTATATACTTTACATAAGTTTAATGCATATATTTGAACTAAAGTTGTATAAACTTTGTTAAAAGGGAATAAATCTAAAATGTTTAATAATGGCATCTATAAAAATAAGTGATTACTTTCCATACAGAAATTAGAGAGGCCTTTGAGATGGGTTTTTAGCAGTAGTATAAACAAGGCATAAAGGGCAGATGTAGATCCACTTCCTTGACCTTTAATGGTTACCATAACCTACAAGATCCCTGTGGGGATAGAAAGAGTTAACATGAAATATTTTCCAGGAAGGGGGAGGAGGATCATTCTGCATTGTTTTCATGGATCTCATTTGCATGTGTTTTCTGGGACAGCTCCTCCTGGGAGCTCAGGTTTTTCTGTTAACTCTCCCTCTACACCAAGTGGCCCTCAATGGTTTTATAGGAAAATGAAGGAGCATTCTTCCACTATCCAGCCACCTTATGCGGTTGAGATACCACAGGAGCTAAGTCAAAGATTCCTGACTCTGGTGGGGTGAGCACCAATGGCCATAAATTATGACATTCCAAACCAGGTGCCAAATTTTGGACCATGTGATGAAGTGTAAATTATTTGAATAACTTATATACAGCTGACTAAAAAGAAAAATAAGATTGCAATTTTCCATTAATTTCTCTCAAACTTTAAAAAAAAAGTGTTATCAGACAGTCTTTATTCTCAGTGCATTGTTGTTGTTTGTTTAGATAGAGACAGATTTATAACTTCTGTACTGGACAAAAATTAAATACATTGTTACCTTTTGTTTTCCATTGTAAATCTTAAGATCTTAAAACCATAAGAAATAACCATAATAGATGAGATCTGAAGTCCATCTAATCCCACATCCTGCCTGCAGCCATGACTGGATGCTTCAGAGAAGGGTGTAAAAAGGGATAAGTATGCAGAAACACCTGATAAGAAGCTACTTTCTAACTGTAGGCAGTAAATTGGCAGCTTAGGACCTCAAGCATAATTTTTATCCTTCCTAGTATAATTGCAGATGAAAGTCTTATAATTCATATCTAATCCTTTTTTGGGGGGGGGAGGGGAGGGGGGCATGAACCCTCCTAAATGCTTTGCCTTGAGAGTACACCTTCCAGCAGTGAATGGCACAGGATGATTATTCGTTGAGTAACAAAGTTGTATTTTTGTTTATCAGTTTTTAGTATGTTGCAGTTTCATTTGAAAGTGTATCACCCCCTCTCCACCCCTTTCTGCATTATAAACAGGAACTTACCTAAACTGCAGTTTCATGGATTTTGCAGAATCCACCAATCAGCAGCAAGTCCGGGGCCACTGTGAAATGCCTGAAAAATTGGCTCTGCATGCTGCAAGCGGGCCACAAAAAAACCCTGTGTCTTGGGGCAATTTAGGTTGGTCCCTAGTTATAAGCTATATGACACTTGACTCGCCCTCTGTCACTCACTATTTTATATACTTTTATCTTGGCCCCTCTCATAAATTAATCCTAATCTTTTTCAATCTTATTTATATGGAAGCCTTTTCATGCTGCAGTAGCTGCCCCGAACTTCCTTTGGACCCTTTCTGTTTTAGCTGCATTCTTTATGAGATGGTAGCAGGCAGAACCAAAAATGGTATTCAAGATAAGGATGTGCTATTAAGGTGGCATATGGCATTTTTCCATATTTGTTATTTTGATCATCCTTGCACATTAAATAAGCATCTTTACGGAGATGTCTACAAGGATACATTTCTGACTTACTAGAACTGTTTCCTTTAAAGATGCAAACTACTTTTTTAAGGGACCCTAGAATTCTCATGAAGAAAAATGATATACAATAATTACTATAAATACTAATTTAACCCAGTGGTGGGAAATAAATATGCACCTGTTAATGTTATTCAACCAGCAATATTTAAATTATTCCTTGGCACAATTGTGTAATCACAAAGGCACTGCTTTGGATATTTGAAATCAAATTTAAAGAGAATTCCTTCCATACATGAAACGTGTCACTTTAACTTAGTTATGTTAATGCATGCCACCTATGTCTCTACAGGTAATATTTCTATATGGCTATTGCATGTCCACAGAGATGTCTCTATTTCAGAGTTAAATGACTCACAATGACTTACTAGTTTTATGCATTAAGGGCTGGCTGGAGTATCAGAAATCCACTCTCAGCGTACATTTGTGAGGAAATATTTATAAAATATATTTCTTGCACCAGCAAGACTAATAAGCAAACCACACTGCAAAAATGAAGACGAATATACACTTTATATTCTTTTTTTTGTTTTTGTTTTAAAAACCAAACCAAGGTTGACTTTCCATTTAGCTCGGAGTGCATCACTTTGAAGCCTCAGGTTTTGCTAACAAGGATGAACATTACATGCTCTTATCTCCTTTTTGTCTTTGCAGCTGGTAAACTGAGTATTTTTAAATCTCTTCTTTACTATCATGAAGCGTTCCTGAATTCCACCTCCACACAGTTTGGTACATTCTGACCAAGCAGTCCATGGTCTCATCTTACAACCTAAAATTTAAAAAAAAACCCAAAAACAGATAAGTTATTAAAGCAATGATTTAATTTCAGTGTTTGGAATTATCTAACTAGCTAGCTAAATTGCTGTGGCGGTATGTATGTGTGCATATATATATACTAATAATGGATTATTGTATGATATTATTGTATAGCCACCAGTAATAGATTATTGTATGGGTATGAATAATGACTGTTTATTTTACTAATACCCATAGAATAATCTATTATTATAGGGTTGAATTATGTCCAGTCAAAGTCTTCAATATATAAATACCAACAAATGGTGGAGGACAACCCCATATCCAATATATTTTCAAGTTAGATAAGCAAAGGTAGATGGAAATTAATTAAGTGGGATGGGGAACAAAGCAAGGTAGTGATAACGCTTATTATAATACCACAACCGTTCCCACGGAGCATTATCTATCTAGTCTTTAGGGCCCAGAGTTTGAAAATATTGGCCCTAGTTGACAGAAACCTGGCCAGCAAAAATGTGATTCTGATTTGGTTCAGAACTCTGGAGCAGGGGCTTGCCACAGCCTTTAGCGGTCTCATGTTGGTTTTAGTCAGTTTTACTATTATTATTAATAGTAATAATAATAATAATTATTATTATTATTGCTATCTAAAACAAAGTCAACTCCTTATCTAGCAGGTTTAAAGTCAAGATGTTCAGGAACTCCCTTTTTATAATGAAAGGAAGAACCTTAATGAAGAATACAGCATTCTTGGCAACTTGAGAGGCAAAGTAAGTTGAAAACTTACACCTTGTGACCTAAACTCAGATTTGACCTTCAGTGTTCAAAGGTGAAAGTCACCATATAACCTTATTGAAGCTTTACCTAGAATGCAATACTACTGAATTATGCTGGAAAAATTAGATTGCATTAAAGACCTGTTGCTCTTTCCTGTTTTAAACAAAGGTCAAGGTAACAAGAAAGGTCTAAGAGAAGCACCAACGCACAACTTACCTGGATACTGCTCACTATCTATGTCTTTCTTAGCTTGCTCACTTCTCCTTTTCTCACGGGCCTCTTTCCAGCGTCTTTTCTCTATACTTGGGTTTCTCAAGCATTTTCTTATTCGGCATTTTTTACGTTGGACAGTTTCTGGGCATGGAGCTCCTCCAAACTGAGGTTCCATTTTAATCATTCTTGTCCTGATCATATGCCCCTTTCCACATGATTTATTGCATTCAGACCAGTGGGACCACTCTGTTAGTTCACAGTCAATGGCTGCAGACAGCAAATTTGAAACATTAGCAGTTCTAACAACTGTTTAGGATTCAGCAACCCTAGCCAGAGCGTGTAGAACAAATCTGTGGCTTTACCTAATTGCATTCTCTATTCATAATACATCAGCTCAACTCTATCTGGAGAGTCTTCATACCTAATTTTTCAAGAACATATGCTAAATATCTGATCAGTCAAGAGTGACACTAGAATTAGCTGCCCTAGGTATAAATGGGGTAGGGGGAGGCCACCAGATTTTAAAAGAGCATCTCACCCCCTTATTCCTCCATTAATACTCACGTGTTGTAGTTTTGCCTTGCTGCGAAGTACTTTCTATGTATTCTATTAAGGAGTCATGCACACTGCCTTTAGGAGCATATTTTAAAGATAGTAAATAATGCCAATATTGTAGTTACATGGGACCTGGCATTTTAGGATTTCAAACCATTTCACTGAGATTAAATAACTGCATCCAATACCCGTTATATGATTTTAAAGAAGTGTTACTCCAATTTTACAGACAGGAAACTGAGAAAAAAGATTTACATTTATTTGCTTACAGCTCCAGAACAAATGAGTGGGGGGAACAGAGAGAGAACACAGAGCTCCTGTCTCTAAAGGCACAAGGCTATTCATTTTTCAAAACTCTGAGCTTCCAACCTCCGAGTTGGAAATGATTTTTGCTTTAAAAATGAAACCCTTCATTGACTAAAAATCAACAAGTAGGGGATATGTTCAGCTTCTTTTATGAATTCTCAACTACAAAACTGCGTTATAAGACTTTTTTTATAGCCAATCCTTTCTGTAACATATAACACAGTTAGTTATAAAATCCTGTGTAACAACTGGCAAATAGCATAGTAATCATATCATAAAACGTTCATTCAGTAGTGCTTCAGGTATCCCGTATGCCTCCTCTGCACCATTCATGGAATAAAAAGCAACTAGGATGTGGCACTAACTGAGCAGCTGGGAATTCTCTTCATTCAGGGTGTAAAATCAACATTGCTGGGGTTTGGCACTGTCTATTCTTGGAGTCCAAGGACCCGTGAGTGTTCCATGTTATGGCAGGAGCAAACCACTGGGTATGTGCTCCTGTGGTTCTGGGTCAATGGAGTAGCCACCATTTTGCTTTAATTATGGCACTGGGATTACATAAAACACATGAGCCACTTTCTATGCCTCTATCTCCTGGCATCTACTTTATGGACCAAATTCAAGGCCCATAATTCCTACCTGCTTTCTAGTGGGGAGTAGATTAAATGATACAACCAGAAAAAAACTCTGGCATTACTGAACAGCCCAACTTGCCTGTTGACTTTAGAGCTGAGCAGGTTGAACTCCTTTGTAAATCACACATTGCCTGAAATTTTGGAGGATGGAATAGCACTTGCCAGTACCTCTTACCATCATCTATCTCATTAGCTGCCTGTCCTGGCTAACGTGACAGTATGTCATGGTCTCAGCCCAGCTCCTAGTGGTCATAAATCCACATTAAAAAAGCACTTATTGATAGGTTCAGAAAAGCACTTATTGATAGGGTCAGCAGAGACACCAAGGATACAGTCATGGAAACCAAGAAAACCTCCTAACCTTTAAATTAAGGCATGTGTGATAAACTGGGACTGCTGCTTCCCATGTTGTCCTGCTTCCAAATATAAGATGACTGTGATGGTTTATGTTTCTGAATTCCCACTTTATATATCCAGTGCAATTATTTATGCATACATTCATAATTAAATATAGGCAGGCAGAAACTCTCTATACAATTATTTTCCTTAAAAGAAACAGTTAGAAGGAGTCTAAGAAAGGTGCATAAAGAAGATCAGTTGTTCACACTGGGCATGTCTACACCAGACATTTACTGAAGTTGTCTAATTAGTTCTGCAGTAAACATCTCACATCTGCACGTGTCATGCTATTAGGCCACAGGAAACTAATACACTCCATAACAGGGTGGTACTTGTAAATACTAACCTGCAGCAGAGTTATTTACTGGGCAGCAATGCATGTGTAGATAATGAATCAGGCATAAATTGTGCCCAGTCAACCCAGCCAGCAAGCAGCCACACTCTTGCCTGCTGCCTAGCCACAACTCCTCTGCTGCCCCCTGTACCCCTGCAGCTGGCACCAGGGCAGCTGCAGCTGAAGCCTGGAGCTCCCCCTGGCTGCTGCAGGAGGACATAGTAGAGAAGAAGCAGTCCTGGCCTGAACTGCTGCTCCCTGGCTCAATTTGCTGCTGTTCTGGGTACACGTGTAGACACTGAACTGAGGAGTCGTTAACTGTGGCACAAACTGCTCCACAGCTTGTTCAGTTGCATTAACTGCACATGTAGATATGCCCACCACCAACTGAATACATCTTTGAGGACTAGGTAAATATATATGCCTGGAGTGGAAGATAGTGTACAAACAAATAATGTCCTTTCTATCTTGCATGTTAGCTGAAAATCACCTTACACGGACTCAGTTATCTTTTAAAAAAGGGCATCTTTGAAAATTTAATAACATCCTCACAGTATTTTTCCGAAGCACATCAAGTGGAGTTCTATTAACCTCTGTGAACTTAAATAGCACTTACCCAGACACTTAAGTAGCATTTTTGGCACTGATGCACAGTACACATGTATACTCAGCATGCAGAGTAGGCATTACACTAACTGGGCAGTTACGTACTTATGTACACTGGTGTAACTCCAAGAAAAAACAAAAAGGAGGACCATCCCCTGTTTAAACCCAATAGCCAAATGATTAAAAAACACCCCAGGGGAAGGAGACCAAGGCTTTACACCAGAGAGGGAATAAAACTCTGTCTTTTTTGGCTTTCCTTCACAAGGCTCTAGTCACCAGACTGCAAATCAGTCACTGCCTAGACTCATCTCCACTGTTCCTCTTGACGCTGAGCCACTGCACCTTGCACTTAGTAGTCATTGGTTAAAAAAGCAGCAGGGGAGGGGAAAGAGCACAGCAGAATGCAGTGGGTTTTGTTCTGTTGGGAAGCAAAGAACCTGGCTAGGTCCCAGGGCCTACTCCCTTCTAGTCTAGCATCCATCTCTCTAAGCCACTGACCTTCTGGTTTCTCTTTCTTTAACCTTACATATCTCCCTCTCTTGGCTGATGAGGGGACCAGCTTCAAAAGCAGGCCTGGAGAAGCGCCTGTACAACACCTGTAGCAGGGTGCAAAGCATTGTGCTAAGAAAATGGGGAGATAAAACTTCAAACCTCCTTCCTCTTTGTTACGTCTCAGCTCTGTATTCTTGGGCAATCGGGGCACAAGATGCAGTCTGTCTGACTCACAAAGGACTCACCCCCTCCCCTCCTCTACCTAAACGAAACTGATTAAGATGCAGTGAGAGACGCACCTAAGACCCTCACCAGATAAGGGTTACAAGAGTGAATCAACTGCCCTAGGTCTCATTTACATGAGAGATGGAAAACAGAAAGCCTGAAGCAGAGACTGCAGTGAATTCTGGGACCAGAGAAGCAGGAGAGCACTGCATGATGGGGAATCTGTGCTTCCAATGTTAATCAACCCATGTTCACACACACCCAGCTCAGCATTTATCAGACCAGCTCTAATCTGGATTTGCTAAGGACTTTTCCCCCCCCAGACACACACACACAGCTCTAAGTTTAATAGGCATCTCGGGCTGAACATTCCCCGGTCCGACTATGGGAGGCCTATTTAAACTTGATTGACTAAAACTCGGTTGCCAGGTTAGGGAATGCTGAGGCAAGAGACCGAGTCAGAAGGGGTATGGGCAACATTTGAACAATGGTTAAGGGTTCATCACAGCATCCAGCCTGCTGGAGCCCTAATCCCAGGTGTTGTCATATCTTTCCCGAGACGACTGGTGGGAGTCCTCTCCACAAAAGGTTATGAGCACCCCAATAATTGTTTTAAGTCTGTTAAAAGACTATAGTAAGATCTGGAAAAGTCATGCTAAGCTGAGGCTTGTGCACAACAAGTAAAAATCCAAAATCCTGATGCTGCAAGCTATCTATTATTCCTGAAGAAACCATGAGATATCCTATCAGTATATCTGCCACCCATAGGAATTTCAAGCTGGCTCCCAAGTATTTGGGTTACTCCCTAATCTTAAGTGTTTCCTGATTATCAATCAGTTTCCTGAGATGGTCCAAACCAGATAACCCCTTGTCAATAGAAAAGACAATGATTTACACTACTGAGGGTGCTTCGAAGCAGCTAAACTGAGGGTATAAAAATCTGTAAGTGTGTGTGCTGCTAGAGGAAGAACAGGAAGAGGAAAAGGAAGGAAAAGAAGTAGAAGCAGGAGGAAAGAAGGAGAAGAAGAAAACCCCTGTGCTGACACCATCCCCTGTCGTTCTTGGGACGCTGGAAGAACAGATCATCTCTCCCTTCAAGGACTGTGCTACAGACTGTGCCTGTCAGCTTTGCAGCCTGAGTACCGTGGACTAGGTGAGATCCCAGCGTTCTCTGTCTTCTTTCTAGGCATAAACTTCTGAACCTGAACTGTATCAGTTAAGCTTGAGCTAAGTTTCCCCAAATACTTAGTGAAACCAGGGTAGTATTGTCATTGTTGGTGTTTGTTTTTCTTTTGCATGTCTATTACTACTAGTACTATTATATATTTCATATGCTTAGCAATAAATAACTTTTATAGTCAAACTGGTAGTAATTGGGTATATTTTTCCTTCTCTGCTTCTCTTTCCTCCCGTGCTCTGCAGCAACGCTTCTTTTACCTATGCTAAAGATCCCTGTGAAGCCCAAATTATTGTGGGGTCTGCTCATCAAGAGGCCAAAGATTGGGACGTGCTGAGTTTGAAACACATAAGGGGATCAGCTTGTACAGGCTGATTGACCCAGTTTGACTCAGATGTGCCCTTATGAACTGAATGCCGGCCCATGAGGGTGTCAGCTGGACACTCAGCCGGATTCAGAGGGATTCTGTTTACCTGTGTGCTTGTGTCTGACTGCAGTTTATTGTTGCTCTTATGAACTGATTCTTGGCATATGAGGGTGTCAGCCTGTCCATTCTGATCACCCCGGCCAGGTCAGGCGTGTCACGTTAATTTGTGTGTGTTTGTGTGTATGACTGATTTGGTGACTGGAGGAACCCAGTCCCATTGAGACTGAGTCCTGCAAGATAGCTCCATTGGGGGTGAGGGCTTGCAGAAGGGAGAAATACAGCTCCGTATAGTAACACAAGCAGCACATTGACAGAATCACCAAGACCCTAGAAACTATCCCTAATAAATGAGCACACCCCAAAGTAATGGGCAGATTTGGTAACATCTTTCTAGAACCTAGGTCTCCTTCCTGGGCAAACACCCTAATCACTCAACTACCAGGGCTGAAACATGGGAGCACCCCCTGCTTGCCTAGTTGTGAGTTCTTGCCCAACTACAATTTTGCATGTATTGTATATGCATATAGCCGTGTAGCTGCCTGCCTGGCCTACTGCACATTCTCAGTATGCATACATACTCTCATGTGTCCATACTGCCCAGGTAATAGAGGGTAGCAGCATCATAAATTGTGCTTATGTGCCAAAAAAGTCACTTATGCAGTTGAGAAAAGCCTGCCAGTTAGTTAAGTACACGGGCAGCATTCTATTCATCATGTATACACTTTTGCTTTGTATGAGTAGCTGTAGAGCTTGGTGATAGAGAGCTTCCCCAAGTATGAAAGGGCCTACAGATGTGTCACAGCCCTGCCATGTCTTTTGGGAATGTCTCTTTTGTCATAATAGATTATAGCATGGGAAGCAATGCATCTTCACCATGGTGAGCCTACTGTTTCACCAGCTGCTACCCCCTGTATCAGCACAGTATCTCAAACTGTGCGTGTCTGGCTCTGATGTTTCAGGATTTAGCAAGGAAAGGTTACACATTCCCTCATTGCTCAGATGAGATAGAACAGTTACTTTGAGGACGCAGAGAAATCATTCGGGTCAAAGCAACAACCAGAGGCTACAAAGGACAACCAACACATCCCAGAGGGTGACCAGGGTTAGACTCTTATGTTGCAGAGCATCTTAAAATAGCTTTCAAATTCTAGGCAGGTTCCTATACTTACGGCACTCTGGCAACATGCATTTTTCCACTTGTTCCAGCTCCTCATTGCAGTCTCCAAGCTCAGCTGCTGATTTTAGCATCCTTTGCCTGGTCCTCATTCCCTTCCCACAGGTTACACTACAATCACTCCATTCAGACCAAGGTGAGAGCATGCAAGGAATGGTATCTAATATAGGAAAAGAATAATTGGCAAATTTGTGAGCCCTATTATGTGGACATTTAAGTACAAAGTTTGAAAAGAAGTAATATGCAAAATGTGAGTGCTCAAAGGAGAAAGACAGCTATACTGAATTTGTCTGTCAGCTTAGATAAAATAATAATAATATAAAAAAACAGCTGTCCTGATGCCTTTAGGAAAGCTCAGATAGAACCTACATTTTTAAAAAGCATAAAAGTCAGATTTGTATGCTATATTTGTTCTAGTGGGAGATAACTGCTAACAGGATGTAAGTTGTTATCAGTAAAGCTGGTCTTTACTGGACTTTTTAATGTTTTCCATTAAGAAAACTGAAATGAAGTGTTTGGCATTGGTTTTGCCTGAACTGAAATATTTAATTTTCTGTCTGCGTGATATTAATCTATCTGCAGCTGCTTCTATGGTGCTACATGGGAGCTGACTTGAACTTTACCAACATGAGAGTGTCACACACTTAATCCCCTCTCTGGCTTGATTATACCCCAGCAATACACCATGGTCTCTCTTCTGACTAAACTTCCATCATGTGTATCCCCATGACCACAATGCATTATGCCAGACATGTAGCCCACAGAATAGATTTGGGGAGTGAGGAAGCCAAACTGCAACTCCCAAAGGCATCAAAGCATCTCAGATGTACACAATTTAACATAAAATGTGATGTACAGACATTAATAAATTTGATGTTTAGACATTTGATGTTTAGACATTTCTGCCTCTCATCTTTTAGAAATGTTTTCTATTTCTTTTTATTTTGGGCGGGGGGGGGAGCGGAGAGGGGGAAGAGAGTAGCTATTTGTCCTGTTTTGGCAAAACACTGGAATTTTTCACAGGCTCTAAATGTTAACTTTTTGCTCACCTCACATACAGTGCCAGTTTTGGTGAAGCTATTAGTTTAAATCCTAAGGTTCAGCATGTCCAGCAAATCCTGAAAATTGTACTCCTCATTTTTTTAAAAGATCACAGAACTTAGGAACATTTGTTCATTCCAGCCTTTCAACACCTTGATAACAACAATACCTATCGATGATAGTTGATTTTATTACCCAGTACTTATGAAGTACTATTACTTAGTATTTCACTATTACTGGTACTATTACCTAGTACTAATAATTTGAAGTGCTAAGTACTATTACCTAGTACTTATGAATGCTCGCAGGTATTTTGCTATTATATGCTAACTGGCAGGGCTACTGTGATATTTGCAAAACAAAGTGTAATGTACTGTACAAGTGAATATTTTTTTCTGGCACTGTTATATCATCCTCTGAGAAGAACTGGTACCAAATGCATATTCCTATGAGGAGGAGAATCTGATTCCATGGTGGGTGAAGGTTGGCAATACTTCCTATGAGGCACACTTTAGATGTGCTGAAACAACATGTCAGCAGAGTCATCTCAATTTTCAGGCTGGCAGATGGCTCATGGATACTTACGGCATTCTGGCATCATGCATTTCTCTGCCTCTGTAGTTTCCGTCTTGCACATGGATCCATCAGCTGGAGTCATCTTAATCATTCTGTATCGTTTTTTCATTCCCATGCCACAGCTAGCACTGCATTCATCCCACTCTCCCCATTCTGTCACAAGGCAGCTACTAGGAGCTATTTATAATGTCAAAAGAGAAAATCACTCACTAATGGCATTCACTGAAGTAATGGTTCATTTAGTGCTCTTGCTATTGATTAGATTTCATGAGGCTAAATCAAATACTTACCACACTCCTCATTTACAATGCATTTCTCAGTTTCTTCAGTAGGCACTTTGCACATAGAACCGTCTTCAGGGAATTGTTTTACATATCTTTCTCTAGATCTTGTTCCCATTCCACAGGAAACACTGCAGGGGGACCACGTAATCCATTCAGACATCATGCACGTGGAGCCATCTAAGATACACAAAAGAATGTCATTTGCTGATATTCAGATGCAATATTTCCCTGATATATTGCTACCCACTTCTCTCTTCAGATATCCATACTTCTGTTTATTTTCTGTGTCCCTTCTCTGCCTGCTCTGTCTTTTTGATCTTTTTCTCTGTTCCTCACTTCACTGCTTTTTTCTCCCTACTCCTACTTGACATTCAGATACCCAGTCAGATAGCTTACTGAAATGCAATAGCGGACACAAGTGGCCACAATTTTAAGGGGCTTCTATAAATCCCTATGTGGGTGTTTGCAGATCTGTACACAACCATGTATGCACGCACTTTTCAACCATCATCACTAGATAGGACCATGCAGCAACAGTAGCTGGCTTTCAAAGTAAAGTTAAAATGGGCCACACACTAAAAACATTCAATGTCGTCCGCATTTGTGATTCATTACCTTCATCACTACACCCTGGTCCCATACATGGCTGAAAATCCTGAGTGTCTGGACAAGGCACGCTGAGGTCCAGCTGAGCTTTAAGCATTCTCTGTCTCATCCGTTTCCCCTTTTCACAGGTAGAGGAACTGCAGGCTGACCATGGGGACCAGTTTGAATAGATGCAGGTTTCAGGGGTGTCATCTGAAGCCAATAAAAAACAGAACATGTCAATAACCATGTGAGTTGTCCTCCATGCAGTTCCTTTTCACTTTGCTCATGGTTGTGTGAGTTCAGCATGTGGCAGTGCTTGCTGACAAAGACTTTCAGTGTCTTAAACTGTAATCTGAAGCACAAAAAAATAATCTGAAAACACAATTACCACAAATACCTCTCCTTTGGTTAGTACACTGACAGTTTTATATTTTAATTCCTGCCACCTTATTGATATTGAACCTATCCAATTTCTGTGGGCATGAAAGCCAAAGGCCAGTGACACAAAGAATGGAAACTGAAATTGCTTTCTGACATTCAGTGGGACAACTGCTTCTAAGTCACTTAAGCACTTTTGAAAATCCACCCCCAACTACAGCCAGTTCTTTTGGTCTTCAGTATAAGAAGATGGATCCAACTAGCAGTTGCCAAGTTGTGGTTTTTTGTGGGGGGAGGGGGTTGATATTTTAGGTATTGTACTAATAATCCTACAGAGAGATGAGATCAGCAGTGGAGGAGGAAACAAAATTTAAACTCACAAAGCAGAACTTAATTAAAAATACCTTCTTCTTTTTCTTCTGGAGCAAGATCTGCTACAATGTCATCTACATTATCAGGTACGATATTGCACTGCTCCCCCTGCAAGGAAGTAGTTAGGAAGATTTAAATTAGGAAACTGATATGAATACCCCTGTGGGTACTGAGATATAAAATCAATTACTAGAAGCTACACAACAACAGGAGCAATATTGGTAATGCAGTTAAAATGTTACAGATATGCAGTTATTCATCTCTGCAAAGGGCCAGTGAAAAACCCACTCCATTTCAACCAGATTCAAGTGCTGCCTGGCCCTGTGCCATCACCTCAACAGAACTCAAAATATTGTGAAAAGATAAAAACATGAGGTGTGGGATCTCTTAGGCCCCTGGCACACATTAATTTAATGGTGCAATTGGATCTGATCACCAATTCCAAAAATTGCACCTCCTGCATGGTAGGAGGTGTGATTTTGGGATCAGAGATCAGATCCAAATTGCACCATTACTACTTCTCAATGTAGGGGGAGCCCAGGATCATGGTCCCAGGCTCCCCCTGCACGAGTAACTCTGTGTCTGCATGAACAGTGTGCATGCGTATTTTTAGGGTCCTGTGCACTAGGATACCTGGATCAAGGAGAGATTCCCTGATCCCAAAGTCCCTGTGCACTAGGGATGTCAGGAAACTGCATATGCAGCTTGGTGACTCCCTGAAACCCAGCACCCTGGCCTAGCTGATGAACTCCCTTCAAGCCAGGACCTTGAAAACAGCAAGGGGCAGTTCCATGCAGGGATGCACCACATGGTTATCAGCTTGCCAGCCAGCATGGAGAAGATCTCAACCAAGCCCTGCCATGCAGCCAGCATCAGGCTGCATACCAGAGCTATTCTGTAATGAGGCCAGATCAGAGCCCGAGCTCAGCCAGTTCCAATCAAAGGATCAGAGCAGTTTGTCTCTTAAGACTACAGGGACACAGGTACCATTTGTAGTGAGCCCAGATTAGCACCCAGCTGATCCTCCTGCAGCAATCAGGGCAGCAAATCCCCTGAGACCATAGGCAACAGGCTCCACCTGCTTTAAAAGCTAGGCCCAGCCCACAATACCCTGTCCAGGCAGAGGCTGAAGAACTTGCTTCTTACTGCTGTGTGCATCCTTTCTTTCCCTTATTGGATCTCTGGTTTTGAACCCTAGCTCTTGATTCTGGTCCTGACTTCTGGCAAATCCTGACTCTGGCTTTGGCTCCTGATTCTGGTTCTGATCCTGGCTCCCTGGGAACCCAGATCCTAGACTTCACCTGTCTTTCAGGTGACCATCCTAACTTTCCCATTCCCTCACATACCCTGCCACCCATTCAATTTACGGTGTGATGGAAACCAGCTGCAAAAAATATTGCACATATTTTGTGGAATATTTTTGTGGTTGGTTTCATATTTTGTTATGCTATTAATTCCTTAAATGTGGACAGGATTACTATTTATGGCACATCAGGTTAATTACATTTTAAGTTTAATGTCTGCCAGGGGCCATAGACATCTCCTCCTCCCTCCCTGCAAAAGTAAAACCTGGAATGCCAATATTGTTTTGGAAGGAGAAACTTGGGTAGTAGATATGAATTGAGAAACTGAATGGTGATAACAAAGAACAATTAAAATGGGTGCAGTTTCATAAAATGACAAACAGCACAGGTTTGAAATTCATAGACAGGAGCATCATTTCACAAAGAAGGATATTAACAGCACGCCTGACTTACTGGTGGTGGAGTATCACTTATATTATTGTGTACTGAGATCAATACATTTAAAGAGATTTGGAAAAAGCAACACAAATGATGAAGGGACTGGAAAAATGAAAAATATCTATGATTAATAAGGCCCCAAAGATTTCAAGCTAGGTTGACATTTTCAAAAGCATACAGGTCTATATATATAATATTTGTAAATGGCTATGTGTTTATATAAAGTGGTCTGAAAAATCAAGGAAAGAGTTGACTTGCTCAGGAGGATCTCTGATAGAATAATGTGGAGAGACAGAACTAAACTAAGACAAAAGACAAATAGCTGGAGTATCAGGAAATATTTGCAGTACAAAGGTCTACAAGGCTATCAAACTAGTTAGAATGAGACCTACAAGTCAGAATGAGAAATCCCATCACTTGAGCCAGCTGAGTATTAGCTGGCAAAGAACTGGAAAAGCTATTGTAAGTTTCCAACCCACATTTGCAGTGGGACAGACAAGGTGATTTTGTGACAAAATGTCATCTCTAATCTCTTTGAGCATCTTTACACGTGTTCTAAGGTAGGGGGAGGGTGGGTTTAAAGTGCCTTCAGTGTCTCGTGTATTCAGCATCCTGTGCTTCAAAATGGCGGCAGAGGTGCTTTAAGTAAAGCTTGCTTGATGAGCTTTAGTTAAAGCATCCCTGCCCCCATTTTGAAACATGAGGTTGCTGAATACATACGATGCTGAGGGTGCTGCATAGGTGTCCTATGCTCCTGCAGAAAAACAAGTAGAATGCAGCTGTGGAAGCTTCCATTAGCAATTATACCAGTAGATGAAAAGTGCTTCAAGATCTATGGAACAATTAACCTATTAAACATATTTAAATTATCATCCTAACATAGCATTTCAGTTTTTATATTATGTACTTTTTCTTAGAATTTTAAATTTCTACCTTCCGTGCGATTCTCTCAATGACAACTCTGGCTACCAGTTTGATGGACCCTCCTTCTGGATCATAAAAGGGACTCTGAGGATGATCTAGGCTCGTGAGTGGCCTTATCTTCTCTTGGGGAACGGTAGGTTTGTTAGGTGACTGCAATCAGAAAGAAAAAGGAAAGGAATGAAAAACACATGCATTTTGAATCATAGTAAAAAATAATCAGCTACAGAAATTAGAACTGCTTTAAAATATTTAAAAGCAAAGTGCCCCTTTCCACAGATCCTGAATAAAATAAATTTCCCCCAATACTGAACATCCACTAGGAAGCATTTCTGTAAATCCCTTGGGTTGGAATTTCAGGCTAACACACTAAATTACTTACTTGCCCACCCCCTACATTAGGGGCTTTCATTTAGATCTTTTTAATTAAGGGCTTCAGTTTAGATCTTTAAAACACTTGCTCAGCCACTATGTAACTCTGGAAACACCTTTAAGCAAAAAATGGACATTGGTGCCTAAAGTAGCATTTATTTTTAACTTGGGTGTCTAAGCCCATAATTGTAATCTCCAAATCCCCACACAGCTGGAACTCTAGAGGTATCAGTATTTGACTGTAAAGTTCTCTAGGTACCTAAACATGCCATTTCTGTTCATAAGCACCTTAGTTTTGACAGGGTTAAACAGCTTCATGCCTAGTTCCTGTCTAAGGGCACTGACAGAAGTAACACTTGTCACATGATTGGCCCCTTGACAGTGCTGTCCAGCCATGCCCTGACAGAAGTGCATGGCTGCAGAGTGCTTTAAAAGTGCCTGATTGTGTGACAAATTAGCCTTCTTACATGATGAAGGCGCTCCAAAGCAAAGCACCTTCATTAACTTCTGTCTATCCCTTTACCAGTTGGGCCTGCACTGGTGCTGTCTGTAGGAAGGGAGGGGGGTGAAGGGAGGGAGAGCTCCAGGCCGGGATTTGCCCAGCCTGAGCTAGAGTGGCAGCACATGGATTGGCATGTGGACAGAACCTAGAGATGGCACTTCCCCTGCAGTGGCAGGGGAAAGTGCCTGCTGCCAAAGTGCCCCACCACACCCACATCCGTGGCCAGGATCAAATGGCTACATGACTTGGGTGAGACAATTCTCAGAACTTACTGGCAGGATCAAAATACAGGGTGGTTGTGCTTTCTTTTGAAATTCATTGTCTTAGCATAGTGGTTTTCAAGTAGGGTGCTATGTCATCCCGGGGTACCGTGACACTGGTGAGCACAGGGCTGCCCCAGGTGCAAGGCTGAAGTATACACACAGATACCACTGCTTCATAACCTTAAAACAGGCAAGGCTGGCTCAGGTTGTAGCCCTTTCCAGTATTTCCGGTGGGGAGGGCGAGCTGCCAGCAGGCAGAGTGGTCCCTGGGCTGCAGGGAGGGAGGGAAGA